CGTTTGACTCGTTTCGTGGAGTTTGGCCGTAAGATAGTGTGTGTCGGCAAGAACTATGGCAAACACGCCCAAGAAATGGGGGGTAAAGTGCCCGACAAACCACTCATCTTCTTAAAGCCCGGTTTGTGATGACCTGACAGTCAATGGTTTGACAAAACATTGTTTCATAACATTGTCTCTCTTATAGCCACCGCTTATGTGACCGAAGGAAACCCTATTAAGTGAGTCCACACTCTCTCTCCCTTTCACTCCACCTGTAGTTCGTGTCAAAGGAATAGCCTTTGCTTTACTCAAAGTCTTCAGATATCATATGATTTGACGCCACAATCATAGCTAAACAGAGATAGTCTTAGTCTATGCATCCATACTATGAACTCATAAGACTTGTTGATTATGTTTGTGTTGTTTGTGTTCACATTTGCCTCAATATTAACTAATATTTAACATTTCATTTATTGTCTTATCATTTCATTTGCTTTAGAAATATAGGAATGCTTTTAATAAAGTTTATCTGATATTAGTTTAACATTTATAATAATAAGAGTGATGTCTAGACAATAACTAATAGGATATTTAAACAACAATTCTATCGCATTAAAGTTGCTTGCTTCATTAATTTACTAAACTTGTTAATATGTGGGTTAATAATAGCGTAGTATCTAATGGTACGATAACTTTGCAAATGTTTGAATCGATTGTATGTTTAATGGGAACAGATTTCCCGTCGGTTGCGGAGAACTCCATCACGAGGTAGAGCTCGGAGTGGTTATCGGTCGCAAAGGATCCAACATCAGTGAGAGTGAGGCCATGGATTATGTCGGTGGGTATGCCATCACACTAGACATGACGGCACGCGACTGGCAATCGACAGCTAAGAAAGAGGGAACGCCGTGGTCTATAGCCAAGGGGTTCGACACGTCTTGTCCCGTGGGCTCATTCATCCCAAAGGAATCGATTGGTGATCCAAATTCATTGCAATTGTGGTGTAAAGTGAATGGAAATTTGAAACAAAACGGAAACACATCGGATATGGTGTTCAAAATCCCACATTTAATTAGTTTTATCAGTCAATACTTCACTCTCGAAACAGGAGATCTCATCCTTACTGGAACTCCTGAAGGTGTGGGTCCTGTCAATCCCGGTGACACCATTGAGGTTGGTTTGGGAGACCTGTCGAAAGTTTCATTTCAAGTACAGGCAAACCAATAGACTTAGAATATTGTAGTTATTTTTGATGAAATCATGAAATCAATAAAATTATCGATTGATTAGACCCTCTATAATGTGCTTCCGATTAAACAAAGCAATCATTTTTGCAATATTTGTTACGTTTTCAAAGGAATCCATTTACAGAATAGGAAATAATTCTTATATTCCAAACATTTATAAGAGCTTATTATTGAAATGAATAAAAGTTTGATTCAAATATAAATGTAATAGTACAATTAACCCAAACTAAACACTTCTCAATTTTGAAGTTTTCTCAGCAATTCATTTATGTTTATTCAAAATTTCAATCATTTTGCGGACCTTTTCTTCTGAAACCACTTTAAGACTGTATTCGTCGGCAGTGTTGGCGCCCATCGACACAGACTTGTTGTGGTAAGTCATTTGCGATCGCTTCACATGACTGGCCGATGAATGCAATTCCCGGACTTTAGTCTTGTTTATAATGAATTCCACGTTGTCTTCGGTAACCCCCGCGCCGGCCATTATGGAGATCCTGTGTTGAGCCCATTCCACCAGTTTTCCGATGTTCTCCACTCCATTGGCCGCTGTATTTGACTGACCGCTCGTCAGAATACGAGTGAATCCCAGTCTTATAACCTCTTCGAGTGATTCTTTGGCGTCACTTATCACGTCAAATGCTGTCCATTCATATTGAAATGAAAATTACAGTTTTAAAATTCATTGCTTTTATTTTTAACTAAGCAAGATAACCCAATTATGTAAACGAGAAAATATTCTATTCTATACTTTTAATTAATTTTATAGAAATATTAATTCTATGAACAAGGTGGTCAATGGCCATGTAAATTTTTTTATAAATTGAAGTGGTACAGTGTTTACAGAAATGTCTTGTTAGTAAAAAATCTAAAAATCATAATACCAGTAATATATTTACCAGTACTGTACCGGTATTACGGTATATTTATTTTAACAAAATTCATACCTCTATGGAAAGTGCATTCAAGTGGTGCTGCGGTCTCTAAAATGATTATATATTTGAAGTGAGAATATTGTTAAGAATCAAGAATATTGTAAAAGTTGATACCAATTAGAAGTTTGCAATTCTTTGTATCTATAGTTCCATCTGTTTTTAATATCCCGAACACAAACCCATTCACGCCATTAGACTTCAATATTTGAATATCTTTTTGCATTATAAGGATCTCATTGTCGGAGTAACAGAAGTCTCCACTTCGGGGCCGAATCATCGCATAAATGGGTAGTTTTGGACATAACTCTTGTGTTTGCTTTACTAAACCTATAGTAGGCGTCAGACCCCCTATCTATCATTGAAGACATAACTAAATTGAGCACTACTTTCATATTTAAACACTACTTACTTCTAAAGCACTGCAGAGTTCAATACGATGAGCACCGGCATTATTAGCGGACACTATGGACTCAATTGAGTCAACACACACTTCTAGTTTGTAACTCATTTACAGTTATAATGAATGCGATATCACTTTCCAATATTTGATTGCAAATAAACAATTCAATGAACAATGTTTTGCATACCTGTGCTTCAATGCCTCACTGAAACATTCACTGAATGCCAGCGTTTCTAATGGAAACTTTCTATGATATCCATAACTTTAGGCTATTTTATGATAAAATAAGCTGAGAAACAAGAAAATGTATGCAAAAAGCTTCAGTCTTTAATAAAATGATATAAATTTAGTGACAAAACGTGATAATGAAATAAGTAATCGTTAAATAGACATAAATATCGATTTCTCTTATTTATGATAAAATACTTTTCAAACAATTTTTGATAAAAATTCGAAACAAATTTCATGAAAAAAATCATTTCAAGAGAATGAATGAGTGAATCATTTTGTTCTTCGCGTGGGATCAGAGCTGGTGATGGGTTTGGGGGGACCCAAGCGGTCCAATTCGGTGATGTAACTCATGAGCAGATGCCGGCGATCGTCTTCGAACGGATCCAACACGAGATAGCGTTTGTCGTTCTGAAGAATGCCCACAATGTCCAGCAGGTGTTGGTCCGACTCCTCCATCAACTTCTTGGACTTGTATGTAATGATTTTGGTCTCTTTGAGGAGTTCGCGGAACTCGTTCTTAGCGGACGACAACCGGTCTTTCATGTATTCCCGGAACTCTCGCTCACACTTGCGATCACTCGACGAGAACTTCATATAACGCGAGTCCTCTTTGATCTGACGCTTAATATCGCGCCAAACAGTAGAGAGCGTCACGTCTTTGAGTTCGTCCAACAATTGCCTAAACTTTTGCCTCTTTTTCTTAAAGAGATTATCGATGTGAGCGTTGAACAGCTTCTCGGTCTCGTCGTGTCCCAGTGTCTCCACTAACTCCCACCTGTGATCCTTTGTGATGATCTTCTTCGCCTCTTTCCAATGCACGTCACAATTGCGGATCAAATCAGTCAACAGAGCGCTAAAGCTTTCGAGGGTTTCCGTGTGTTTGTATTGTTGCCTCTCTTTGTCCATTTCGTCCTTCACTTTATTCTTCTCGCGACTCACCTCCAGTTCCCTCTCTCGAAGACTTGCTTTAATCCGTTCCTGTTTTTCTCGTTCCTTAACATTCTCGGAGTTCTCAACATCTGAGCCATTGTTTCGATTTGACTCCAACCGAGAGACATAATGTCTGAACATATCCTCTTTGGCGGAACTGCTGTCCACTGCCTTATACCGAGAGTCGTCACGAATCTTGTCTTTGAATTCAGTCCACGAGGAGTTGCGCTCCAAATATGTCTGTTCTTTAAGTAATTCCAAGAATCCATTTCTTGCCTAAAATCAGAATTTAAATGTTTGAACAAAATGTCTTAGAATTGGATCATTTAAACACTAATCGACACCATATTATTATTATTTAATGATAACAATATAATCTATGTGTGGATATAATGAGATAATCGCAGCGCAGATATAATTCAATAAATTAAATCTAATGAGAATAATGTCTAGAATTTGTTGGTTTTGTTTTCTCGATATATTTAAGACTCGAGAAAAGACTCGTTTAATGGAATAAATGGTTAATAAATAGTTTATATTTAAGCCAATTGTATGTACCGTAAAGTCAATTGTAAGTCAATAAATCAATTGTAATCCTCAGAGCAGTGCAATCAGAATCACATTCAATCACTTTGTTTACGATTATCTGAAAATAATAATAATATTTTTGCACAAAATGTTTTTTGTTTTTATGTTAAGCCTGAAAATGAAATGTGAGTTAATCTGAAAATGAATTTCAGGTTAAGAGCGTTCATATAAACGATTAGTTTGTGGAGAGAATTGTCAATTAAATTGCATTTCGGGTAATATCTTAGAAATAAATGAGTCAACGATTAACTATACCTTTTCACGAGAGGCGGCCTTCTCTTCCCTCTCTTTTTTCCTTAAATCAGATATAAAATCATTGAAAAGAGACTCTCTTTCACGCATTTTCTCAATATTCCTGAAGCGCTCGTCTTTGCCGTAAGTTTGAGCGAATTCGCCGAATGAAGACTTCGGGCCCAAACCGGCGCTCTCCAGGAGTTTCCGGTAGTCGTCCTTCTGTTGCCTCAATCGCTGCCTCTTCTCTCGGCGCTCCTCTTCAGCCCTTTCCTTCACATACTTTGAATATGATCCCATAGACTTATAATGGGGTTCTATAAACTTTCAATTTGGTCCCATAGACTTATAATGGGTTTCTATGAACTTTGAATATGATCCCATAGACTTATAATGGGGTTCTATAAACTTTCAATTTGGTCCCATAGACTTATAATGGGTTTCTATGAACTTTGAATATGATCCCATAGGCTTATAATGAGTTTGTTTGAAGTTTAAATATCATCCCATAGGCTTATAATGAGTTTGTATGAACTTTAAATATCATCCCATAGGCTTATAATGACTGTATGAACTTTAAATATCATCCCATAGGCTTATAATGAGTTTGTATGAAGTTTAAATATCTTCCCATAGGCTTATAATGAGTTTGTATGAACTTTAAATATCATCCCATAGGCTTATAATGAGTTTGTATGAAGTTTAAATATCATCCCATAGGCTTATGAGTTTGTGTGAACTTTAAATATGATCCCATAGGGTTTACATGGGTCTATATGAACTTTGTTTTAACTCCCATAGGCTTATAATGGGATTATATAAACTTTAAATTTGATCGCATAGCCTCATAATGGGACGCATACTGTATGGCGTTCACGACATGCATAGGGTCTGGTGAACGCGCGCTGTAAAGACAGCTTTTGTTGCTCACTTGTCAGGCTATGCATCCCGTGAACGCTTTTAACATTAAGGCTATGGGGAACCGGAAAACGCTTATATATCCGGAACGGGTAGTCGTGAAGTCGCGAAAAAATATAGAATATTAGGTTTTTCCCTCCCTCGTTCCAATTCCCTCGTAGAAACACCAACTCCCCATAGGAAGTTGGTATGCCCATGTAGAAACCCCAATTCTATCGTAGAAACACCAACTCCCCATAGGAAGTTGGTATTCCTACGGGGAAACCCCAATTCCCTCGTAGAAACACCAACTCCTCATAGGGAGTTGGCATCCCCACGATTGGGTAAGGGTTGTGTCAAAAAACATCGAAATCCCCATAGAAATACATTAAGTCTACGAGAAGATAGAGGGTGTGTCAAAAAACATCGAAATCCCCATAGAAATACATTAATGTTGAGTCTTGGGGGTAAAAATGCAAAAAACCCGGCTTCAATCCGATATTCCGTTGTAGAGTTGTGTCTTGGGGTAACTATATAATAACGACATTGTAGGTCAAATCAACATTTGTAGGTCAAATCATTGTAGGTCAAATCAACGTAGGTCAAATCAACGTAGGTCAAATCAACGACTCCCTTTTTATTGATTTATGTTATGGATTTTTGAAAAACATAACAAGGTGAATTCATAGAGTCTGGACATTTCTACTGTTTCACCACTGATTTGGTACAACACGAGCGCGTAATACAGGGCGGAAAGTGTGGTGTCGTTGAGATACCCAAACAGTTTTGTATTGAAATCGATGATATGATTGATTGGAAAATAGCTGAAAATTTTGTTAAAATAATGAATTCCAGTAATTAATTGTTTTTATATATTTAATATTTTTTATTCACAGAATTATAAATTATTTGAAAATCATTCATGGTAACTTGATATTGGATTATATTTAATATTACGATATAAATAATTCTTGCATTTAATTTGAATGTTACTTTTATCTATTGTTGGAATACAAAACACTCAAAATTGATAATTCAAATAATAAAATTAATCTAAAAATAAAAAATAAATCATAATTCCGGTAATATATTTACAGTACTGTACCGGTATTACGGTATATTTATTTGAACAAAATTCATACCTCTATGGAAAGTGCATTCAAGTGGTGCTGCGGTCTCTAAAATGATTATATATTTGAAGTGAGAATATTGTCGAGAATCAAGAATATTGTAAAAGTTGATACCAATTAGAAGTTTGCAATTCTTTGTATCTATAGTTCCATCTGTTCTTAATATCCCGAACACAAACCCATTCACGCCATTAGACTTGAATATTTGAATATCTTTTTGCATTATAAGGATCTCATTGTCGGAGTAACAGAAGTCTCCACTTCGGGGCCGAATCATCGCACAAATGGGTAGTTTTGGACATAACTCTTGTGTTTGCTTTACTAAGCCTATAGTAGGTGTCAGACCCCCTATCTATCATTGAAGATATAACTAAATTAAATTGTATTCATATTTAAACACTACTTACTTCTAAAGCACTGTACAGTTCAATACGATGAGCGCCGGCATTATTAGCGGACACTATGGACTCAATTGAGTCAACACACACTTCTAGTTTGTAACTCATTTACAGTTATAATGAATGCGATATCACTTTCCAATATTTTATTGCAAATCAACAATTCAATGAACAATGTTTTGCATACCTGTGCTTCAATGCCTCACTGAAACATTCACTGAATGCCAGCGTTTCTAATGGAAACTTTCTATGATATCCATAACTTTAGGCTATTTTATGATAAAATACAAACCGGGCTTTAAGAAGATGAGTGGTTTGTCGGGCACTTTACCCCCCATTTCTTGGGCGTGTTTGCCATAGTTCTTGCCGACACACACTATCTTACGGCCAAACTCCACGAAACGAGTCAAACGCATACTTCTTCACTCACTTCAGTCAAGGATGTGATCAAATATTGGACACAAGTTGTGTCACAAACACTGTTTGTTGTCTTTTACTGTTAGACGTGTTTATGGTTTGCATTTCACTATAACTTCGCCCAAAACCAGTAGACGTCTCCTCACGACTCACACTCTTGTCATCACTTCTCTATTGATATCACTTTTGAAACTTCATTTGAAATTAGGATTGAGTTATAAATTATAATTAAATTGTGATTGTTTTTAATTATTTGAATATTTTTGAAGATTCTTATTAAATATACTGAATGCACCCAAATATGACTTAGCCTTGTTCAGACAATAACAATAATATTGTGATAATGAGACATTTGGCGGGTTTGAGACCTAATATAATATCGATTTTATTTAAATCCAGAAAAATATATGAATATTGAGTGAGTGGTCACTCATTCACGCAATCATTTCCAAATAAAAATACTTTTTTTCTTAACTAAAATTTTAAACATTAAATAAATGGTGTTTTGGGGACTAGTCTTAGCTCGAGGTTCGAGTAAATCGATTGTTCACAAGAATATGAAGACATTAGACAATAAACCATTGATTGGATGGGTTTTGGAACCAATGAAGTCATCAAATGGTAACTAATTAATAATAAGATGTCTCAAGACTTGGGGAAACTATTTGAAACCCTGTTTTAGTTTTCGACGAGATTTGGGTGTCGACTGATGACCCAACCATAGAGTCAATAGCGCTGTCATATGGGGTGAAAGTTCACAAGAGGTGTGCGGAAAGTGCCACCGATTCGGCCACTTCTCTCTCCGCTGTTCAAGAATTCCTCAATTTTAATAAAGGTGAAATTTTATTCAATTTATTTTTTATAACCCCGTCTTATATACCTTACATACAGGTGCCGATCAAATCTGTTTAGTCCAGTGCACGTCTCCTTGTCTGCACAAAAATTACCTCAAAAATCGGGTGTTAGAATACCAAGTTGTTTTTATACTAAGTCAAAAAAGACATATAGCCTCAGTAAGTGAAGCAACCAGAGATCTGCATTTAGGAGAATTGAAACTAGGTTTCGCATCTGGTGCTTCTGTAGAGTGGACAGGTATGTGGTTATAAAATTATATATTATAGGTTTTTATTTATTTATATTATGGATTTTTTTAAACATAACAAGGTGAATTCATAGAGTCTGGACATTTCTACTGTTTCACCACTGATTTGGTACAACACGAGCGCGTAATACAGGGCGGAAAGTGTGGTGTCGTTGAGATACCCAAACAGTTTTGTATTGAAATCGATGATATGATTGATTGGAAAATAGCTGAAAATTTCGTTAAAATAATGAATGCCAGTAATTAATTGTTTTTATATCTTTAATATTTTTTATTCACAGAATCATAAATTATTTAAAAATCATTCATGGTAACTTTATATTGGATTATATTTAATATTACGATATAAATAATTCTTGCATTTAATTTTAATGTTACTTGTATCTATTGTTGGAATATAAAACACTCAAAATTTATAATACAAAATTTTATTTAACTTACTATGTGTAATAAAATTAAGTACAATAGTTAATTATTTTATTAAATAATAAATAGTCCTTAATAATAAATACGAGGGTATAAAAAATTATTTTACAAATAATGTGTACAAAATCCCTGCTGTCGTACGGAATGGTATTTTTATAAATGAGAACACGTTATAAAAGAAAGACAATTTGTATGAGATGTAGGACTGGATGATAAACAGTTGGACATTTGGTTTGTGTGAATATGTGGTTCGGTAGGACTGATCCGATTTGTTCTTTGAATCAATGAAAACATTGGTTTATTTTCGTTGGTTAGCGACAAACTAATTGATTTCAATACATTCATAGCATTCATATCAGTTGCTTGTATGTTGTGGTTCACAACCCAATCCCAAAAGGTTTCCACATCTCTACTGAACTGAAGAGCACCCGATGGCGTAAATCTGTATTGAATTGTATTTCCTTTAATAAGACAACTAAGAAATGCTTTCCCAAACTCTTCGGTCAGTTGTGAGTAGAGAATAGTTGAGTCATAATTGGATTCCTTAATTAATATTTCACTGATTGGGTCCAACATTGCTTTGATTATGCCTTCAATCCATTGAGAATTGGTTGAACATATTTCTGGATAAATGAATTTAATTCAATATTAAAATCATAAAATTAATCTAAAAATAAATGGACTATTTTTGATTACTTTTTCTATATTGCTTAAATGGAATGCCTTTTAATATGAATTC